CAATTCCCAGTCCAGGCACTTGCCTGGGTTGCAGGCTTGATCCCCCATGGGGGCATGCAGGAGGCAGCTGATCATGTTTCACTCTCACATCAATGTTTCTCTCCCTCTCTTCCTCTCCCTTCCCCACAAAAAAAAAAAAGACTGCATAATCAGACTTAGGTTATTAATAACTGGACTTCAGGCAACAAACTGATGTCACCCTATAAAATTATTGGCTTATTAGGGCCCTGGGGCCAGACCTCACCTTTGGGTGAGAGTAGACTCTCCTGTGGAGGGAATAGATGACCCAACTTTCAACCACCAACCACCCAAGAAGAAGTTTCTTGTGGGGGCAGGGGACGAGGACACAGGAGGGGAGGCTCAGGCTAGAACGAGGGGAAGCTCTTTCTCCTCCTTTCGGGACCAGGGTGAGTGGGTGAAGGTGCCTGGATTTTTCCAGTGGGTATAAGGCATAAGCAACCATGGTCACAGGAAGTGAGAAGTGAGGGGGGTGCCCGCCAAACCAGGCTGGCTTCCTGGGTGTCACACAGGCCCCACATTCAGAAGGGCCTCGTGATTGGTTTAACATTCTGGGGTCGCCATATCGAAAGTCTTAATAACTTTTGTACAAAGATGTCACGAAATTCTAGCACAGCCCTGGCGACAATCTCAGCCTGGCCCGGGACAAACACCGGGGTCCGTGCCAGTGGGGGACGCTCGGTCACCATGCAGGTTCAAGACTCTGCCCCCGGAGCTGCTCAGATGCCTCTGCCAAGGAGGCTTGATGCAGTGAGTCACCCTTAACTGGGTCTTGGGAGCTGAGCAACACTATCCCCTGGGGATTTGGCTCCATCAAAACCCAACTGCAGAATCACAGCCCCAGGGAAGCAAGCCAAGATGTACTGACATCAGGGCCGCTCGGGGCAGAGCCTCCTTCACTTTACCGTCACCTGCTCTCACATCTGTTCTCGTGTCTCGCTGTATTTTAAGATAAAATGCTTTCTCTCCCAGTTCTGCTTTCACTTGCCGTGAGCCAGACAGCAAGGTGTTCCCATGGAAGGACGCTGGTTCTCTGGGCTTCGTTCTTCTGCTTCTGTGGCTTATCGTTAATCCTGGAAAGGCTGCGTGAAATTCGAAATGACTACATCATCTGAACTTTGCAGCTCTTTCCAGTGCTCTTCAAGCGACAAACCAATCACCGGGTCCTTCAATAACACAGACACGATTGGGCATTGGGGTGGGGGGAGGGAGAGGAAAATATTAAAATAAGAAGAGCTGCACAGACTTGTCAGTTTAGTACAGAATAGCCTGGCCCGCATGGTTCAGTGGTTGAGCATCAACCTATGAACCAGGAGGTCATGGTTCGACTCCCGGTCAAGGCACGTGCCCAGGTTGCAGGCTCGATCCCCAGTGTGGAGTGACAGGAGGCAGCCGATCAGTGAGTCTCTCTCATCATTAATGTTTCTATCCTTCTCCCCCTCTTTCTTCCTCTCTGAAATCAATAAAAATATTTTTTTAAGAAAAAAAAAGAATACCACAGAATGCAGACCACCTCATCTGATGACTCTACCCATTAACATGAAGGTGAGAATAGTGGCCAAGGGCTGCCATGGTCTGCTAGAGCTACCTATGCAACCATATTCCTCTTTGGAAGAAAAAAAAGGTGAATAATGAGCTGTGTGGCTTCAGTGGTATTTGTAATGTTCCATTTCTTCAGCGCTATCCTTTATAACGTGTACACTGTATATAAGTATGTAGTGTGCATCAGATATTTTATAACTTACAATGAAAAATTAATAAGCTAATAAATGGTAGGATTAGGGCCATCTGGGTTGGTGGCACAGAAGGTAGGAAGGTGACAGGAAGGGATACAGGAGCCCTCAGGGACTCGCCAGGGTGGGGTTTTCCTTCAGGGACCTGCAGGGAGCACAAAGAAGACTCCCTTCCGCTCTGCAAAGAGCAGATTTCCTACCGCACGAGGGTTCGGCATGTGCCTTGTCTGTTCCTGAACCTTACAAACGGAGTCTTACCCAGTCCTTAATTCTGAACCTGTCCTCAGAGGTTCTTCGGCAAAACCAATGAGTCAGTCGCCCTGCCTTGAGGCAAGAACCCCGCACCCTCAGGGCAGGGCCATGTGAGTTTGAGATCACCGTGGGGAAGGGCTGGTGCTGGGCAGGGGGAATCTGGCGTTGGGCCAGAGGGCCCTCGTGACTGACGGCCGGAGTCAGCACCGATGCGCAGGGTTACGAGCGGTCGTGAAGGGAATGCTAGACTACACCAGCTGGGACGTACTGGAGGGAATCGTGTCCAGAGAACAGTATGAAGGAGATCAATGGCTGCCAATCCTGAGTCCATATGTGAGTGCCTGCCCTTAACAAAGTATCCATCCCTTGGGAGGAGATTAGGTGCACACAACCTAAGTCCACCTTGGCATAAAGTCACCAACTATCTTTTCTTGGGAAACACTGAGTGCTATTCTGACTTGGGGTCCTCACCAGTCCTTTCTTTTATGAAATTATGGTCATAACAGAGGGTTCAGTGGAAACTTTCTTCACCAACCTGACTCTTACTAGTTCAACCAACACCCTTTAGTCTCTTGGTGAAACATCCTGACTTGGTCCCTGTGGCAAAGAGTAGATTCTTCTGTTCTCGCCCATTGAGGTGCGCGTTTAACGAGAGTCAACTGTGTTCGGGCCCAAACTTGCTTAGGCACGTCGTGCGCAGTAATTATGATGGTGTGATTTAATGCCTGCATCCATGAGCTCATCAACGAAGAGTATCAACAGAAAGGATACCAATTAAAAAGAGTGTAAGCAAAAAGAGAACTGTTATTTCTACAAAAACTAAATGGAATGCTTTGGAAAGACTCGGTAAAAGCACGTCATTTTTTTTAATGCAGTCAGATTAGGAATGAGTGAGAGAACTGCGAAATATTCTGAGTAAAAACAGGAAAATGAGAAAGGGCTTTGCAATCCGATTGCTTCACAAGTGTCTCGCGCATCTTCCTCCACATCAGACAAACTGGACCTGGACTCCAGCCCCACACCACATGTGTGCAGTCCATGCTG